ATTTCTTAGACTAATACCCTAAAATGTTTAATTGGCAGAGAAATCCACAGTCTACATATTAGTATGAGTATATTAATATAGTAGTACCGTAACATATACATTCGTATTATTTTAAATTTTAACTAGTATATCAGTATTATTCAGCCTAATTTTTTAATACTGAATGAGCCAATTAAGGCTGCCCATATAAAATTCTTAGCAATTCTGCAAAAAATTTGCTTTTATTGCTAGTAGGCAAAATTTATTCTAAGTGAATAGAAATTTTTGAAAATAGGTCTATAAATGTGTACGTATACTTGCATGTTTATGTTGTAGTAATGGACATTATAGTAATAATGTACAATTCTCAATGATTATACTTAAAACATTTTTGCTCCTCAAGATAAAACAAAATTTTAGATTAAATGTTGATACATTTTACATACTTAAGAATGATGAGAAGTTGTATTTAATTTGCTCAAATGATCCGTCAAATTAATTACACAATTGATTTAGTGATTAATTAGTAGACTGCAGATTTGTATGCCAAACAAAACATTTGTTACATCAATTTAAAAAACGAAGTCTATATTCGTTTTACTTTTCAAAAATAAAGATGTAATATGTTTCTTATAGTCTGCACATTTTTCCATATTAAATTCCATACTATACTTCACTTTTTCACATATTATATTTTCTGCAATTCAAATTTTTTATAACTGCATAAAATCTACAGTCTATTTATTAATATGTAATTAGAAGCGATGCTTGATAAGAATGTTTAATTAGAAGCACAATTAACTAACTTCGTGAATTCACGCACACAACACGCTTGCAATTAAATTGTACGTACCTCGTCAAATTATATAAATAATAAAGTCGATTTGTTTAAGAAAAAAAAAACAGAAAATATAATAAAATTTATACAATTGAATTTGACATTTTATTTAATCATTACAAAAACATGAGAAAACGTGGAAAAATATAATGGAAGATAAAGTTATAAACAATTTGCACATGTAATTGTATTAAAGGTACAGTACGAACAATTTTGCGTATTAAGCAAGATATGATTATTATTTGTTTTATCTAGCAACGCTATTACGTGTAAAATACAAACGAAAGAAAATTGAAGTGTGCGCATGATTAACGTAGAACAAAATGCAAATAGATAATTCAATTCTTAACTTTGCAAGTTATTACGTATCATAATTTTTAGATATTCAGATCAGGTTTGTCAAATTACTTGTCACGTTTTAGAAGCTTTGCTGCATATTCGATGAATTTCCTAACGAGAAATCCTATGCATATTGAAATTAATCCCATTTTTAATATATTATTAAGCAACGTCCAACTGGCGGCCTTCAAACCCCTTTTTGGCCCCTTTCCCCTCCAGATTTTCTCAATTGAATAATCTTAAATAGAATTTTAATTCGTTCAGCAATCCATTAAATATTGATACTACCTCGGTAGATCCGAAATATCAATTGAAATTATGCGACATTTAGAGTAATCCATTTATTGTATCTAGTGGAGCAACTGTAATAGAGCTGTCCAGACTTCTGGATAAAGAAAAATATTTAAAGATAAGAGATTTTTAACTTCAAATCATTTCTACATTGGCAACATAAATATCTACGAGGGTAAATTTCCGTAAATGAAGTACATAAAATCAAAATATAGGAACTTCAATAAAGACTAATCTTGAAAATATAATTCGATTTGCAATAAACATTGATATGAATATGAAAGAAATTGTTGCCCAATAATTACGTTCACAAAGTTCCCATTGAGATTTTTCAAATATTTCCGTTACATTGTTTTTTACGTTAATGTATTTTCTTCTTATAAATTAACTAATTTTTTAAATGACATTATTGACTTCTTTATTAGCTACCTTTCTTAGTTTTTATTTGTAAACAAAACAAAATCGAACAGGAAGAAGTTGCAGTATGTATATCTGACTAGCAATGTGATAACGTATCTAAATTTGTTGTATTTTTAATATTTTGTCTAGAACTAAAGGTGACCTTCATTTTTTAGATGGAACGTTACATATCTTTTCACATCATATGAAAGCGGGCATTAAGGTTGTACGAACCCTTACATAAAAACAATGACAAAGCATTGAAATTTTAATTGTTACTATAATAGATATTATATTAATAAAACATTGTACAAAATAGAAATTTTACGTGTCTATTAAAAAACTTATTACATTTTAAATTTTTATGTCGAATAACAAAATTCTGATTTCCTTCATAAAAATATGAATGCAACAATGAAAGAATTTTGTAATTTTGTATAATTCTTAATACATGATTTAAGAATATTTTAAAGTTGAAATAATATCAATTTCGAGGATATTATTTAAGATTTACAATAAAAAGTATACAAAAATACGAATTATAGAACATGTAGACAATGTAGACAGTTGCAAATCACGTACAGTTGAATAAAAAAATCGCAAACCTGCGTACTAGAATATTAGACATTATGCGTTAAAAATTCTTTATAAGAAAAACAGATCGAACAATTTTATAAACTGTACTCCTCTGAAATTATGATTCTTTCTAAACACTCATTGCTTCAAATATTGAACACAGCTTTTCATTACATGTTTTCAACTTTTGGCAGGGATCTTACGGCTCGTACAACTTTAAGGACGTATTGGCTACACAGTCAGTCCCAAAAATTTATGTATCTTAGAAAAATTTCCTATAATTAACCACATGACATACAATGACGTCTGGGAAACATCTTCGTTCCACGTGCCATTATAGACTTACACATCTCTGAGACGTCAAAAATTTAACTAGCATTACTTAGTAATAGAATTTAAATAGTATTTTTCGGACGCATCAAATTCTGTTTTA